TCCAATTTTAAGTGAGGAATATAATTCGAAAACTTTTTGACTTAGTCTTTTATCCAATTTTATTCCATAAGAGCATGAAGTCAACTTCAATTTTATGAAGTTGAAAAAAATTTGGAAGTATGTTCTAAGATTGATTTACAAAGCTATCAAATTTATATTGCATTGACTTATAACCAGCAAAGAGTGATGATGAAAAGTATGGGCAAATGAAGCAAAAAGACTTGGCTTTGCCAATCCTATGTGGTCCCTTGGAAAAGGTTAAGGTTAAGATTTATCAACTCACTTGTCATTATTTGCAATATTTTCAAAGTCACTTTGTAAAAGTCACACTCTACCAAGTCATAACAAGACATTATTTTTTCCCAACGGTGACCCAAAGAGCTTAGCTTAAGACAAAAACCAAAGTCCACATCAAGTGAGTCAAATCTCCCATATACCATAATTTGGAATGAAAAATAAATAAATATTAAGTCCCCTTTTCTACAAGTAAAAATAATTTTCATTTATGTTAACATTCATATCTAAAACTCAATTAAAATTGTCCTTATCACGAGGTTTGAGTTCTTAGAAGATCTATTAATTAATAAAAAAGTGACATAGAAAATGATTTTGAAATAATGATTGAATATACGTTGATTTTATTTTCTATTACGAGTTTGCTTTGTCTAAATACATGAACATGCACAATGTACTTGAAAGATGATTTCCCTTAGAATATTTATTTCAATAACACTATACTAGAAGTCTAGAATATGCAAATCCAAATGATTTCTCGACATTAAGGGGACAAGAATTGGATACGTATATAGCAAAATGAACTCATGTATATGATTTTTCTAATTAATATTATTTATTTGTAGAAAATAAAAAACAAATGGAACTTATTATAAAATTATAATCTATAATTGGATTAACAATTTGTGTCTAAATGTAGAAGAGTATAGAGTCATCTGAACAATAAATGTGGAAGTGGACCTAACAAGACGGTGGGACTATCATTCTCAGTATGAATTGTGAGCCAAAATTCACCATTTTACGCACAAAACAATCTACTTAATTATGTCCTTTGGGAAAAATAGGAAAAAATAAATGTGCATAGATAATATAGGACGGGGATCCAACATCAGATAAATAATGTTACAGTGTGGGCCTTACTCTGATATTATAACAAGAAAATGAACTTTGAGTCTGGCTTAATTGCAAAATCAAACTCGAGATGTAAGTTCCTTAAGATCATATAAAAATATAAGACGTGGGACTCAACATTTGGTCCCTTAATTAGAGTCTCTAAAACTTGTTCACAATACCAACAATATCTATTGGAGCAACAACAATGAAGACGATAATAATAAATGCAGAAGTTATCGTCAATAAGTAGGTAGAAATCATCAAAACACTAAAGTCATATTTTAATATAAAGACATTTTTCAATAGTTATCCATCTACTAAAGCGATCCCAATAACCTTTTCCTTCCACAGTTAAAAATAAAATTTCACTCATAGTAAAATCTTAAATTATTTAATCATCAAAATATTTCAAATTACAACTCATAAATCTTCTAATAGGTATCCTTTCTATCTACTTAATATTAATATAAACAAACTTCTTTTTTACCTATATTAACTATTTTGCTAGTAAAAGGGTAAAATGCCTTTATCATTTCTTCTTATTATTATTGAACTTTACCATATACTCTTTTTTTTTTTTAATTATATAAAAATTTGCTACTAGAACAGTCACAATTTGTCACTAGTTATATGTGTGTCTAATGTTAAAAAGACATTTGGTATCTGTCGAAGTTCAGTTTATGAGAGGTCTAAAAATCTTGTACTATCTCATACTCATTATGTAATGAAATATAGCTTGAGGAGTTGTTACATTATTTTGCAAAAATTAGAATCTATATATTTGATAACGGGACCAAAATCCGTTGTCTTATCATTTGGCTACTCACATGGCTATAAACTCTAGTGTCGGAATTTGAATTGTTGGGACCAGTAAAGTATAGTACAAGTCGAAGTAGATCTACTTTACTGTAACGATTCAAATTATTCTTTTATACTAAACAAAATAAAAATATTTCACAATCATTTCATAATATAATTTTTTTCAATTTTCATAATTCCTCGATTTTTCTATTTTTATTTTATTTTTAGTAAAATTTAGATTGTTTTTTTTTTGTAAAAACTGAGGTGGACCAGCATCGTACTGAATACTGACTGGGTTTAGTCGATTGCCACACGTGTGCTGTTCCAAAGCCATGTGCTTCAGTATCTTATGTCAACAAAAAGTTTCCATTTTAACTCCTTTTCTTTTATACTAATTTCAATATTAAATACCAAAATTCTTTGAATAGGTTAAATGCCCCCAAATTAATTATTGGATTCGTATTCTTTCGGCCCTCATATTTGGATATCTTGGATTCCTATATTCAATCCTAGACATACATAGGAGTCTGGGCTGGCACGAGCCTAAAGCATGTTATTCTTGTTCTTTCAATTTATGCGATATAAATAAAATTTAGAGAATCAAATTTTTATATGTTTTTCAAAATATCTGAAGTTGTTAATTATTGTGATTTTGAGTAATTTTACATTATTTTCAAACAATATATGTTACTCTCTATGTCTCAATTTATGTGGCAAAAATGAAATTTGAAGAGTAAACAAAATTTTGTATATGATCTTTAAATATATTAAATTGTTAATTATTGTATATAACATATTAAAAAAAGAAATTAAGATAATCAAAACGGAGAAAGTACTGAAGTGGTCCAACATTTTAAGGAAATAACCGTTGGCTATAAGCACACAACTTAAGCAGACATGTCATCCAAAAATTACGTACTAAATAATGGGGCAATTGATTTGGTTCTGGTTTAAAGTTCGACAAAAAGATTTTTTCCTTATAATATTGTTATATAAAGAGGTACTTCTACAATTTTACAAAGATATACCTCTATAACAATGTATGTTGTTGTTATAGAGAGATAAAGTATAATACGAAAAAAATAATAATTTCATACTTGAAACACTGTTATAAATGATAATCGTTAAAAGAGGTCCTATTGTAGATAACATTCTGACCTTTACGAGCTGAATGCAAGAATATTAGTTTCAGATATAAAGTGAACATCACATCAATTGGTCACATTCTATATGAACTAGAAATTGAGATATCCAAATATATGAACCAAATTATTTGAATGAAGTAACAAAACATGAAAAAGACTCTGTACTGTTAATGATTGATCTTAGCTTTAGACACTGTTTTTGCAATAATACAATTAATTATCTTTGACAGAGACAATTAAGGCAACAAAATAACAAAGTTTTATGAAGGAAAATGAAGAACATAACAAAGGAAAAGTTCAAGTGATGGCATGGTAATTTATAGAACTCATCACTTCTAACATCTTTAGTATGTAACAAAACTTGTCCCATCAATGTGAGCCATTGCCTTTACGAGCTTCATTGTTAAGGGTCCTATCCAAAACTACTTCCACGGCTCAAACCTGTGACCTACAAGTTTCTAGATTATAATCAAAGAAATAGGATTTGCACCTAAGTGATGCGAAAATAAGTGAAAGAACATGTCTCAGCCAGTTAAAAATCACTTCAAATTTCATTCAACATATTGCATTTCTGAAAAGAAATTTCTTGGAAAAGTTTGGCGGTCAAGAGAATTCTCATAAAACAATGAGTACAGAGTTATCAGTACTGTGACAATTTGGATCAATTGCATTCTTGCATGAGTCACTCCAGGTCATAATATTGCATAAAACCATACAGTTGGAATAGAGAAGAGACTGCAAACCAATCACATAAGATATATGTTGGTAGATACTGAAAGAACATTAGTAAATTCAGGAAATCAATTTGAGAAAGAGAAAAGACTTCGTTTTTTTTTTTGCAAATATAAAAAAAACTTCATGATCACACTCAAAGTCCCGGAGACTATCTATGTCACATTTGATGCACTTTTAGTTGCTCAGGACATATATGTCCCAGCGCCCTAAACAATAAAGTCTAATAGGTAAAGATACATCCATCCATGACATCAACAAAGAGAGATGATATCAAAATGATTTTCTCAACACGACATGTGAAAAAGCTATACATAAACAAGATTTGTTTTCTTAACCCTCCTCTGCACATGGTTAAAGAAAAAAAAACATCACACAGAAATGATAGAGTCAATCCTGAATCTTTTGAATGAAAAAGCTATGTTTATCTTACTCCATGGGATACAATTTCAGAAACATTTGATCATGAAGAACTACTTCACTAAGCAGTAAGCACCTATTCTAGAAAATGTGTAGTTATAGATGGATGCATATCGAAACCTCCAATACATTAGCAGGAAATTTACTTGCTTGTGAGAGGACAACAATACCTAATACCACTCTACAGCTTCACTAAGGTCACAAATAACAACAAACTTTGAATCATTTAAGGTTCAGTTAAATTTTAAGAATTAGGATAGTCAATATGGATTGGGTTAGTAGAGAATGACAAACTCGGTGTCACGATCCAATTAGGGGTCGGAGACTGACATATAGTGGGCTTACTCCAGTAATAGAACCAGATGAACAATAATAAAAAACTTATATGATATATCTCCCATCAAGAGAAATCCATAGCAAAATCTATTGTCTGCTCCTAACATGATATATTATCATCTTTGTCCAGTACATTTTTCACGTCATCCAGAATCAGACATTATTGTCTTCTATAAATTCATAAATTAATATTACAATTTCTAAAATTTGATTTTAAGAGATATATGATTCAGATTCGATCTGAAAACTGAACCAGTTGACTTGCACAAATGAACAAGCATAATATTAATTTGTACAAATTTAGGACAAAAGAAGCATCAAGTAAGTTAATAATAAATTACGTTGGATAAAATAAAAGAAAAATAATGAACAAATGTAAAATAAGTACGGAATTTACTCACCTCAAAAGCTTCAGACATGCAGCAAGTTCCTAACAAGTTAATGTGGGAACAGATAATAGTACACCAGTTTGCTTTGATTACCATCAAGCACCGCAATATGTTCCATTCTTTCTGGAATTTTCTGCAGCTTCGGACACCGAAATATACTCAAACTTTTTAGCACACTCATAGCAGTTGTGTGAAGATGCCAGCTTTCAAGATTTCCAAGATTAACAAGTCTAAGGGTCTCCAGCTGACTAAAACTGTTGCTGTTACAAGTAATTTTCTTTCCCTTGTAGGCCCGTGATAACTCGAGATGCCTTAAGTTTGGAAACTTCCCCAGAATTGGCATTGGATCTTCCTCGAGTCCTGTAGAGCGTGTAGACTGTAGGACTAACACAGTGATGGATTTTGGCAGATTGTTTAAATTTGCTAATTTTTCTATTCCCCCTGATAACCACAATCTCTGAAGGTTTTCACAAGAAGAAAGAGGTTCAAGGGGAGGAAAAGTTTCACCATAACTGCAAACTAGCAACAAGGTGATGAGGGTTTTTAGGCTCCCAATGGATTTTAGGGAGTAAGATTTCATAATATGTTCCATGCCCAATTCTTGAAGGTTGACTAAACGAGAAGCATCAGTATGTTTCCACTGATCACAACGAATATATTTAAGAGTTCGTAGCCTGTCAACTTGCAACGGTACCTCATATCGAGTAATTAAATGTCTCAAATTTGTGAGCTTGGCTATCTGAGGAGGTAATTGGCATGAGCAATGGTCATCAATCAGTGCTTCCAGCGTTTGTAGGTTTTATTGTTTGCCAATGGAAGATGGGAGTTTGAAAAGATTGGTGTTAGACAAGCCTAAGAACTTGAGGTGTACCAAATTGCCTATAGCATCAGGTAGATATTCTGCAAGTCCAGCACATATAAATGCAGGAACGTTGTACATAACTTTATAAACTTTTTATCATCCAAGTGCTTAAATTTTTTGTCAAGGAGCAATATTGACCTTACCTTCAATTTAGAAAGATCAAGTGAAAGATACCTTTGAGTTTGTGTGTGAATAGCATGTCGGTGACGAAATGGGGTGACCAAGTTTACTCTTGGATCATAAATGTCAAACAAGTTAACCTCCATGGCTTTTTGTACAGCAAGATCCCGTAGTAGGTCGTGTATCCTACATGTAAGAATTTTATCAAAGAATGTCTCCGCAACTTGAATCAAGCTTCGACTTATTAGCTCATGTAGGAAGTTTTCAGCAATAACCTCCATATGTTCTCAAATTCTTGGTATGAATCCCTCTGCCAGCCACAGGCGCATCAACTTTTCAGCGTCAATCACATGATCTTCTTGGAAACTGCCAATGTATAGAAAGCATTGCTTGAGCTCAAATGACAAATCATTGTAGCTCAATGATAGGATGTGAGAGATCTCAACAGAGTCGTTCTTCATATGCTGCCAAAGATGCGTCTTCACCTTTTGCCATTCATCCACCCCCTTTCTGTAGGAAAGTAGCCCACCTAGTACCACAATGGCAAGTGGTAGGCCTCTGCACTTCTCCACCATTTCCGTAGCTAGCCTTTTCATTGATGGGGAAAACAAGTCAGCACTAGACATCTTATTCTCTGGATGTAGTTTCTTGCATAAAAGGTCCCAACTTTCTTCTTTATTTAGAAAACGAAGTTTATGCGAGAAACCTTTGTCATCAACTCTTTCAGCCACGTCCTCCTTTCGTGTTGTAAGGATAACTCTACTGCCATTGTTGTTATCCGGTAAGGCTCTTTTTAGGCTCTCCCAAGCTTCTCGATGCCATACATCATCAACCACCACAAGGTATTTTCGCTCTTTCAGTAGATTACGGAGGTGAGTTTCTAGATCTGTCTCCGTCATCTCCTTCAGCAATTTTAGCATTTTTTCATGGTAACCTTGGATAGATTTTATGATACTCCGAAGGATACTATACTGTTGAGAGACGCATATCCAAGCACGAGTTTGAAAGATAGCTAGTAGACCTGGGGAGTTATATAGGTTTCTTGCGAGAGTGGTCTTTCCCAACCCACCCATACCATAAATTGAAAGGACATTTCGACGAGACTACTTTTTGAGAATTTCATCAAGTAGTCTTTGAAAGACCTCTTGAAAGCCAACAAAGAGTTGATCTTTCTCTGCATAGGACACTGCTCTCCTCAATGTTCTTATTAATGAGGAAGACGGATCATTTGGCCTATTACTTGGCCCTTCTCTAGCATTAATATTCATATAAGTAATACCATAGGTATCTCGTTTTCGAGAGATATCCATGACTCTTTCCTTGAGGGACTGGATTTCCTTCCCAATGTTGTGGAATTTGGCCTCTTTCTGATGGATGCAAGAACAAGCCTTGAGACGATCAACAAATCCAACAGCATAATCACCATCTTTTGCCGCATCCAAACTGTATGCTTCTAAGATGTACACAGCTTCATTAGCAACGGACGTGATTTCAAATATCCATTGCTGCACGAGGTTATCTTGTTCTTGCTTTTTTTGGGCATCTTTGAGGAAAGCTTGCATGAAAGACAGTTCATTTCTCAGCCAAAGAACGTTCTCTCTCAGACTTTGGCGCAGGGAAACTTCCTCTATGAGGAAATCCCCCAGTTTTTCATCTGCATAGGACACAGCTGCATCGACCATCTTGATGATCTTGAGGAGAATTTTCCACTATAACAAGGATAAAATGTAACAAACTCAATAACTAGACCAATGCAATTCAAACTAAAACAACCGATAGATATATTTCACTAACTCGTAATGAAATTACAAAGGAATCCAAGTAGTAAAAATGGAAATTGAAGAACTAGAAGAAAGGGATGAGAGTCAGAACTGGTCAAAGAAAGGGGATGAGGAATACAGATACTCCATAACAGTTTTGCCTAAAAACCCTTCTTTCTCATCCTTCATCTAATTAACTAGTTGTTTATTGGGCCCGGGTCCCAAACCAACCTTTGTGAAGGCCTTCTAATTTTGCTGCTTCTTTTCGGCTTAATAACTAGTTATGTGGCCTCCGTATAGGTATTGACATTGGGCCGAGGCTGGTTCATAACAATACTCCCATCCTCAATAAGAACCTTGTCCTCAAGGTTCGAGTCGAGAACAATGTTAGTAGCGTGCACCCGGAAGTTGTAGCGAAGAGAAACAAATTGTTCGAGTGCAAGCAGGCTCTTTCCAAACACAACTGTAGTGTAAGCTTTAGCACCCTTGCGGAGACGTGCATACTCAAAAGGAGAATACATGACCCAAGAAGTAACCAAGTCACTGACATGTGCCTTGTCTCCTCTGTAATTAGTGACACCAAATTCACTGAAGGGTTATGCGCAAGACCTTTCCATTGCATAGCTTCCTGAAGCTTAAAAACATAAGCACAATCTGGACCAATGTGTTCAATTAGTGCATTCCACTGCCTTTGCCATATATGTTGCACTAGACTGACATGATTGAGTGCTAAGAGAAACTCCAAGGAACTATAAAAATGTTCCGATGCATCAGTGCCTACATGTTTCCGCCCAATACCATAAATTTGTTCATTTCACAATGTAACTATGCAAAAATAAGTAGAAACAAAACTACTATTTGGAAACATATTCCCACTGGCACCACAGGATAGAGTAATATCATGTATACCAGGGTCAAAAGGACGATTTGTAAAGGTGAGAGAAACAATGAAACCTGGTGAGAAATAAGAATAAGGTTGAAGAGTCATGCTCCAGCCAAAATTGGTGTTTGGCGAAAGGATGTATAGAGCCTTTGTGAAATTATTGCACACAAAATAAGAAGTAGAACTCAACATCATCCATTTGTTCTGCCTTCGTGCAGCCCCTCAACTGGTTCCCCACTAGCCACTCCAATATCTTGATACCAAGAACCCTTGGATGTGGCTCACCAGCATTTTGAGTAGCAAATTGTGAGCAACCCATTCCCAAGCTGTGTTTGGGCCGAGAAGTATGTTGCCCAGTGTCAAACCAATCGCAAGGGGTTAAGCCATTTTTCACGCTCACACACAATGCTAGATCCCTAAAATCATGAGGCATCAAGGGCAAACAGAGCTGGGCGAATAGGCATGGGTAAAACTCGACAATCACATTATCTTCTATAGGAATGATAAGTGAAGTCTCTACCTCGTTTTTGTCTTTATTTTCAACAATAACAGCATAGTCATTGGCCACATCACACGGGAAAATAGGATGTTCAGGATCAGTAGGGAAATGTGTGTCAATAGTATATTTGGTCATCGTACGCATCTTATGTGGTTCCAGTATAGCACCTTTAGACCTATCAGAAAATTGATCAAACACCTGACCTGCATTACTTTCGAATTCTGATAGCTTAGCATAATGTTGTGGCAAAAGTGAGTTGGTTATGTTGCTCCCTCTCACAGACTCAAGTTCTTTTGGTTTAAATCGAATTCTCACCTTAGCAGCAAAATGTGGCCAATCAATTAACTGATTGTTCCTAAATAACCATCGGTACCAGTCTAATGCTTCACCATCAAGGTAGAATGATGCCATGGTAAGCTTTTGATCTTCCTCAATATTGTAGAAATCAAAATAATGCTCCACTTGGGCTATCCAAGCCTCCAGATTCTCACCTCGAAACTGCCATAATTTAGCATCCATAACTGTGTTTGGGGGTTGAAAAGAGGTTGTAACATTTTTCCCCAAAGCCTCCAGCAGCACGGAACGAAATTCAGCGAGATCTTTAGAGGGTTGGGGATACCATGCACACTGAGTCTGCAAATAATTTATAACATTAGATGAAATAAGTAATTTGATAAATAATATAAAGAATTAATCTATGTGTATGTAACAAACTCAATAACTAGACCAATGCAATTCAAACTAAAACAACCGATAGATATATTTCACTAACTCGTAATGAAATTACAAAGGAATCCAAGTAGTAAAAATGGAAATTGAAGAACTAGAAGAAAGGGATGAGAGTCAGAACTGGTCAAAGAAAGGGGATGAGGAATACAGATACTCCATAACAGTTTTGCCTAAACCCTTCTTTCTCATCCTTCATCTAATTAACTAGTTGTTTATTGGGCCCGGGTCCCAAACCAACCTTTGTGAAGGCCTTCTAATTTTGCTGCTTCTTTTCGGCTTAATAACTAGTTATGTGGCCTCCGTATAGGTATTGACATTGGGCCGAGGCTGGTTCATAACATAAAACTATTATGTTACTTGACAATATGATTACACAATCTGTAATGATACACAAACATCAGTATTATAAAAGTGTTTCTTGCACTACAGTGGTTGCTTGATGACGTCACCGTTGAAATATAAAATTAAACCTCGAAGATGAGTCAGAAAATTCCAGCTGGTTATGAAATCCAAGGCTATCACCTCCCAAGTTGTTCTCTTCTTAATCATTCTTGGCGCATAAGAATCTATAGACCAAGTTAACAACAACAATAACATACCCAGTGTAATCCCACAAGTGGGGTCGGGAGAAGGTAGAATGTACATAGACCTTACCTCTGCCTTTCTTGGGTAGAGAGTAATCTATAGACTAAGTCTATTTGCTTGAATTAGTTAATGCTGAAACTGACAAAAAGTCCGCAACTTTAGAAAGATCCTCTGAGGATCCTATGCATTTTGCATTGCTTAAGAGACAACTATGGGATATTATAATGGAAGGTTAATTAGTTTATGTCCATAACCAATCATTATTAATTAGAGCCAAACAGAAAAAGGCAAAATGGGTGATTTAAAACATGGAAGGAAAACAAGGAGCTGGTCACAGTATGCCAACAAAGATGATTTCTTTTATCTTACACTTTGTACTATTGCTGCCTACACGTTAAACATCCTAACATAACAACAAAACAAAATTCAACATTCATTGAAAATCCCCTGTTCATAGAAAAGTTGTATAAGGACAAGTTCTACCTTTGAAGAATCTCACACACACCCCTTGACATTTTTGAAGAGTACGAGCAACATAGCTTTCAGCTAGGAATGCATGTTTAACACAGAATTTCTTTGTGCAGTAGATTCTTCTTACGTTATAACTCTCAGGAATTTGCACATAACTTATTTCTGCATGTAATTACACAAAGCAGCTATGGGATCTCTTTCTTAACATGTGTGATGTGCGATTGGTGATGCCAAGGAATGTGAAAGATATTTTTGTTTGCTGGCAGAATCAGGAAGTTGGAAAAAGCTTGATGAAAATTTGAAAGATAATACTCTTTGCATCATCTGACCAGTGATGTGAAAATAAGTAAGAAAACATGCTTCGGACAGTTGAATCACTTATAATTTCATTCTAGATACTGTATTTTGGAAAAAAACGTAAATTCTCACATTCATGGAAATTGTGGAAGGACTCATCATACATGTAATTGAAGAGGAAATCTTTGAGGTTAAGAGAACGCTCACCAAGGAGATCCAGAAATGAGTCCAGAGCTATCAGTACGACAATCTGAATAATTTGTATTCATGTATGCATCACTCCAGAGTCAAGTTCGCTGCATGAAACCATACAATTGCTATAGAGATGAGTCGCATATGGTCCTCTATAATTTGAGTTATGTTGGTAGATATCTAATTGGTAATGATCCATCCATAACTGATGTCAACAAAGAGAGATGATACGAAAATGGCATTCTCAACGAGATCTATGAGAAAGCTATACATCAGTATGACTTTCTTTTCTTAATCCTCTGTACATTATTTAAAAACAGAACACCACTGACCACACTCAAGTGTTACTGTCTATATATCCTGGATCTTTTGAATGACAAAACTATGTTTCTCAAGTAATTGAAACCTTACTCCATGGGCTACCATTCAGTAACATTTGATCATGAAGAGCTTGTGCACTAAGCAGAACGCACCAATTCTAGAAAATGTATATATAGTTATAGAAAGGACACATATTCAAACCTCAGATACATGAAGGTAACAGGAACTTAACTTGTCTGTTAGATGACAACCATATCTAATACATGGATTTCGCTTCACTAAGGTCACAAACAATAACCAACTTTGAATCATTTAAGGTAAATTTTAAATCAGTATTTGGTTATAACATAACTATTAGGACAGTTAATATGGATTAGATTAATAGACAATTAAAAACTTGGTGTCATGATCCAATAAGGGGGCGTTGACCGACATATAGTGGGATGACTCCATTTATCGAACCAACTGAGCAATACTCAAAACCGATATCTCCCATTAACTAAATCCATAATTAAATTAAATTTTTTTAAAAAAATGCATAACATTTGATCCAATTGGCACGATTATATAACAGGAACACAAACGTACAATGAAGTAACGGAAAGTGTCTCTTGGAAAGCAGGGATACAAAAAGAGAGGCAGACAAGAGACACTAATTGTAGGGCTCAAATAAACTATATCTCAAACTAAAACTGCATACTAATCAACTCTTCAGCTCAAACTTATCTCTTATACCTGCACAGAAGTAAGTAAGAGGAACGAGTTAATTGACTAAGCAAAATCTCTAACTGTGACACTAACCAAATCTACAACTGTGACACAAGAACAATTTGGAAATTGTGGAGTATTTATATTCAGCAAAAATTTCACACAGTAAAACTCAAATTCAAAGTCTTTTCTAAAACATATATCTCAAAGTCATACCTCAAATACAAAAAATAACATACTTCGACCTATGTAAGATCACATTTGATATCTCAGTCTGTTCCTAACATGATATTATCGTCTCTATCCAATATATTTTCACGTCTTCCAGAATCAAACACCATCACCTTTTATACACTTCGTAAGTATATACTACAATTTCTATAATTGATTTAGTTTCGCTACGAAAATTGAACCCGTTAACTTGCACAATTAAATAATCACAGGAGGATATTATGAGTCAGAAAGTATGCCGCTTTCCTAATCTGGCAACTCTTTTAATTTCGACATGTCACATGGCATATTTAAGATCACAACATTAAAAAGCATTTTGGTACATTATACATATCTTTAGTTTAAGACCACAAGATTCAAAAGTCTTCTTTATTTTCTTCTTAGACCCCATGCCATGTCAAACAAAGACAAACAAATTAAAACAGAGGGAGTACCAATTTAGGACAGACGAAGAATTAAGTAAGTTAATAATAAACATTGGATAAAATAAAAGAAAAATAAAGAACAAATGTAAAATAAGGATGGAATTTACTAACCTCAAAAGCTTCAGGCATGCAGAAAGTTCCTAGCTAGTTAATTTGGGAACCGATCATAGTATTCCCTTTGGCTTGATTACTATCAATCACCGCAATATGTTCCATTCTTTCTGGAATTTTTTTCAGCTTCAGACACCCAAATATACTCAAACTCTTAATCACACTCATAGCAGTTGTGTCAAGATGCCAGCTTTCTAGTTTTTCAAGATTACCAAGTGTAAGGGTCTCCAGTTGACCAAAACTGTTGCCCTTGCAAGTAATTTGCTTTCCCTTGTACGCCCATGATAACTCAAGATGCTTTAAGTTTGGAAGTTTCCCCAGAATTGGCATTGGATCTTCCTTAAGTCGTGCACACTCTAGGACTAACACAGTGACGGATTTTGGAAGCTTGTTTAAATCTGCTAGTTCTTCTATTCCCCCTGATAACCACAATCTGTGAAGGTTTTCACAAGAAGAAAGAGGTTCAAGGGGAGGAAAAGTTTCACCATATCGGCAAACTAGAAACAAGGTGGTGAGGCTTTTCAGACTGCCAATGGATTTTAGGGAGTAAGATTTCCTAATCTTTTCCATGCCCAATTCTTGAAGGTTGACTAAACCAGAAGCATCAGTATCTTTCCATTGATCGCAACGAATGTACTTAAGAGTTCGTAAATTTGTCAGCCTGTCAACTTGCAAAGGAACCTCATATCGAGAAACTAAATGTCTCAAATTTGTGAGCTGGGCTACCTGAGGAGGTAGTTTGCAAGAACAATTGTCAAATATCAATGCTTCCAGCGTTTGTAAGCTTTTTAGTTTGCCAATAGAAGGTGGGAGTTCGAAAAGATTGGTATTAGACAAGCCTAAGAACTTGAGGTGTACCAAATTGCCTATAGCATCAGGTAGTTCATTCCCATCAAAAAGGATATTCTCCAAGTCTAGCACATATAGATGGGGGAATGACATACAGAACGTCATGAACTTCTTACTATAGTCAAAGTTCTTAAACTCGTTATCAAAGAACAATATTGACCTCACTTTCAATTTAGAAACATCAAGTGACAGATACCTTTGAGTTTGCGCGTGAATAGCATGTCGGTGACGAAATGGAGTGACCGAATTTACTCTTGGATCATAAATGTCATACAAGTGAACCTCCATGGCCTTTTGTACAGCAAGATCCCGAAGTAGGTCATGCATCCTACATGTAAGAATTTTATCGAAGAATGTGTCGGCCACTTGAATCAAGCTTCGACTTATCAGCTCATGAAGGAAGTTTTCAGCAATATCCTCCATGTGTACTTCTCTCATTCTTGGCATGAATCCCTCTGCCAGCCATAAATGCATCAACTTTTCTGTATCAATCATTTCATCTTCTCGGAAAATGCCAAAGTACAGAAAACATTGCTTGAGCTCAAATGACAAATCATTGTAGCTCAGTGATAGGATGTGAGTGATCTCAACAGAGTCATTCTTCATATGCTGCCAAAGGTGTGTCTTCACCTTTTGCCATTGGTCCACCCCTCTTTTGTGGGAAAGTAGCCCACCTAGTACCACAATTGCAAGTGGTAAGCCTTTGCACTTGTCCACCATTTCCTCAGCTAGCTTTTTCATTAAAGGAGAGAACAAGTCAATACCACCCATCTTATTCTCTGGACATAGTTTCTTGCATAAAAGGTCCCAACTTTCTTCTTTATTTAGAAAACGAAGTTTATGGGAGAAACCTTTGTCATCGACTCTTTCAGCCACATCCTCTTTTCGTGTTGTAAGGATAACTCTACTTCCATTGTTGTTATCCGGTAAGGCTCTTTTCAGGCTCTCCCAAGCTTCTCGATGCCATAGATCATCAACCACGACAAGGTATTTGCGCTCTTTCAATAGATCACGGAGGTGAGTTTCTAGATCTCTCTCTGACATCTCCTTCAGCAATTTGAGCAGTTCTTCACTGCAACCATGGATAGATTTTATGATACTCCGAAGGAGATCTGGGGTACTATACTGTTGAGAGACGCATATCCAAGCACGAGTTTGAAAGATAGCTAGTAGACCTGGGGAGTTATATAGGTTTCTTGCGAGAGTGGTCTTTCCCAACCCACCCATACCATAAATTGAAAGGACATTTCGACGAGACTACTTTTTGAGAATTTCATCAAGTAGTCTTTGAAAGACCTCTTGAAAGCCAACAAAGAGTTGATCTTTCTCTGCATAGGACACTGCTCTCCTCAATGTTCTTATTAATGAGGAAGACGGATCATTTGGCCTATTACTTGGCCCTTCTCTAGCATTAATATTCATATAAGTAATACCATAGGTATCTCGTTTTCGAGAGATATCCATGACTCTTTCCTTGAGGGACTGGATTTCCTTCCCAATGTTGTGGAATTTGGCCTCTTTCTGATGGATGCAAGAACAAGCCTTGAGACGATCAACAAATCCAACAGCATAATCACCATCTTTTGCCGCATCCAAACTGTATGCTTCTAAGATGTACACAGCTTCATTAGCAACGGACGTGATTTCAAATATCCATTGCTGCACGAGGTTATCTTGTTCTTGCTTTTTTTGGGCATCTTTGAGGAAAGCTTGCATGAAAGACAGTTCATTTCTCAGCTTTCGTGTTGTAAGGATAACTCTACTGCCATTGTTGTTATCCGGTAAGGCTCTTTTCAGGCTCTCCCAAGCTTCTCGATGCCATAGATCATCAACCACGACAAGGTATTTGCGCTCTTTCAATAGATCACGGAGGTGAGTTTCTAGATCTCTCTCTGACATCTCCTTCAGCAATTTGAGCAGTTCTTCACTGCAACCATGGATAGATTTTATGATACTCCGAAGGATACTATACTGTTGAGAGACGCATATCCAAGCACGAGTTTGAAAGATAGCTAGTAGACCTGGGGAGTTATATAGGTTTCTTGCGAGAGTGGTCTTTCCCAACCCACCCATACCATAAATTGAAAGGACATTTCGACGAGACTACTTTTTGAGAATTTCATCAAGTAGTCTTTGAAAGACCTCTTGAAAGCCAACAAAGAGTTGATCTTTCTCTGCATAGGACACTGCTCTCCTCAATGTTCTTATTAATGAGGAAGACGGATCATTTGGCCTATTACTTGGCCCTTCTCTAGCATTAATATTCATATAAGTAATACCATAGGTATCTCGTTTTCGAGAGATATCCATGACTCTTTCCTTGAGGGACTGGATTTCCTTCCCAATGTTGTGGAATTTGGCCTCTTTCTGATGGATGCAAGAACAAGCCTTGAGACGATCAACAAATCCAACAGCATAATCACCATCTTTTGCCGCATCCAAACTGTATGCTTCTAAGATGTACACAGCTTCATTAGCAACGGACGTGATTTCAAATATCCATTGCTGCACGAGGTTATCTTGTTCTTGCTTTTTTTGGGCATCTTTGAGGAAAGCTTGCATGAAAGACAGTTCATTTCTCAGCCAAAGAACGTTCTCTCTCAGACTTTGGCGCAGGGAAACTTCCTCTATGAGGAAATCCCCAAGTTTTTGAACTGCATAGGACACAACTGCATCAACCATCCTGATGATCTTGAGGCTAGTTTTTCACTGTAATTAGGATTAACTGCTATACTTAACTATATGATTGCAAGCAAATAAGTAGTATTATAACTCGATCACGATGTCATCACAGTTTAAGTACAAATTTAAACCATGAAGAAGAGTTGGAAATTTCCACCTGGTTATGAAAGTCAAGGCTATCAACTATCAAGTTGTTCTCATACTCAAATTCTTAGCGCGTAAGAATCTATAGACTAAGTCACGGTCCTGTATTTTGCTTGCATTATTTAGTGTTGAAAATGAAATAGTTGCTTTCACAAAGTTCAAACTATGGGATATTATAATGAAAGTTCAATTAGTTTATGTCCATAACCAATCACTATGCCAAGCAGAAAAAGGCAAAGTTGGTGACCTAAAACATGGAAGGATAACAATATGACCATCCATTTTACCTTGCACTTTGAATTATTGGTATCTAAAAAATTCAAAATTTATTGCAAATTCCATCTTCATTCAAAAGTTGTATATAGACAATTTCTAATATTCCAACTAGTCTATAAGCCATAGATATTCTCAAAAATATTTAGAAAAAAACTTGGCAAATATTATTTGGCCATTCAACTTGCCATTATTTGGCAACTATATTTAGCAAACCATTCAAGACCCACCTTTTTAAGACTCCACCATTATTGAAGAGCTGATCTTGTGTGAGGCGTAGGGTTCAAATTGCAATGAACATTTTTGACTCCCACAACCCAAAAGTAATTGAAACCCAAACAATATTTCATCAATCAAAACCGTTTTCATTGATTCGAGGAAAAAATGATTCATGTGAGAATAGAGTACTGTGGTAGTGTGGTTTTTGTACGGACAAAATAAAGTTCTTCGATTTTTGATTTTTTTTCTCCGTCATAAAAGTACTCTTTGATAATCATTAGCCAAGTAACTGAAATATAAATTTGCATAACGTGCTTTTAACTTGGCCTTAATTTAATCTATGTGCTTCAACTAGAGGTGTATAAGTAAACACTTAAATTTGTATAAAATTAAACAACTAACACATGTATATAAAAAAAAAAAAAGTCACTTCCCTTGAGAGGTCACAAAAAACTTCATTTCTAATTCACGCCTTTTCAAATCCAACAGCATTCATCAATCAAAATCGATAAATTCACCTGTAATAATGCATGTTCCACGGCGTTATTTCTCTGTTTTTGGCATAGAAATCCTATTCGAATCATTAGCCATGTTAAAAAAAATATGCCAAGTGGCTCAAGAAGCATAATTTTGTAGCTATGTCGTTTTCGGCACAAGACAATTTTTGTTGTAATACAATAAATCATCTTCGACATGAATGGACAAGAGTGGGTTAAGCACCCTCGGACTCCAATCATAAGTTTGTGTGTTCGAGTCAACAAAAAAAGTAGGAGCTCCTAGTGAAGGGTAGGGGGGAAATCTTGAACAAGGACATATGAGGATCCATTGCAGATACACCTGACATTCAATAATAGCAAGATTTCTAGGATGTCAACAGAATGAGATGTTATCCTAAAGGAATAAAAGAACAAAACTTGGTAGAACTCGAGCGAGTTTATGAAGGAAACAAGCCCCTTACAAAACAGTGATGACATTTATTTTTGACTAAAAGGTGGGAAGAATCATCTATTAAGTTGGCATCGCAATGTATAAAACTCATCACTTCTAACATCTTTAGTATATACCACAAACTTGTCCCACCAATGCGAGCCATTGTCTTTTCGAGCTTCATCGTTACTTAATGGAAGAGTCCTATCCAAAAATACAGCAACTGCAGCAGCTATCGTGGCATGTGATGTGAAGATGACAGATATTGCGTCATTAAACTGCATTTGAAGAAAACAAACATTGGTATGAGGATGTTTTGTAATGATAATCCTTAAAAGTAACAGAGTTTAGTCAATGAATGTTGAGATTACCCATCTAGAATGTGTATGAAGAGGACCAGTTCCAATATGAAGTTTGTTCTAAAGAAGATGCAGTATATTGCAGCCATGATTGATGCAGGTATTGCTCCAAATTATCCTGACCAACAATAAAGCATGTCACGACTTAAATCAATTCATTAGCATTAGCTAGCATACGTAGAAATAGAGTATAATTTAGGTAGAAATACATGAATTGGTCAGTCTTTTTTCCATCAACTAATAAATTCTTGTCCATGAATCAATACATCAGCACTAGCATACCTAAGACGGAGAAGAAAAAACATAAAAGCAGCAGATATTTGCATGACTCTTCGGCTTCCAACTCTTGTCATTGCCCAGAGACCAGCATTATCCCTGTAAAGTTTTAGCTTAGCCGATTTTCTATGTCAACCATATTTAATTAATGGTATGTCACATGAAAGTCGAGCATAGACGAGTATATTTGTAGAATTCGTACCCTAGGACGAAATTTAGAATAAAGGAGCATTGTAGAGATCAGAGACTGTCACATTGTAGCAGTGCAACCAGCCACACCCCCAAAAAGAGCATTTAGCGAAGTCCCTGTCCCCTGCCAAGAGTTAAAGTTCAGGAGGTAAATAAAGGTTGATACAAAGAGGATAGAAGAGAACATTTGATCTCACCAGTCAGCCAACACCCCGTCTGATGAAAAAGGTGTCACTGGTGCAGTGCTGCCGCTTCCATATCGTGCTGATGCAAGAAATACATCAGTTAACTGCACAACAAACGGATTTAAATTGAATTCAAAACTAGATTTCACTATGAAAATGAAAGACCAGAGTACGAAAAACAATTAAAAATACTTATTTCTTGCAGCCTACTTTTTAAGCAACATTAGATATTTGGACTGTTACATATCAATAGCCAACAAATAAGTAAGGGATCAGAGAACAGACCTCCACAGAAGCAACAAAAGAATGATCATCCTGGGAAAAGCATGTTCGTTTTAGTGTTCACTAGCTCTATACATCAAACATTCTTCAATCCAAATCAGGCTTCAAGCATATAAGGGCAGCGCGGTGCAAAAAGCATCCCAAGTTAGCAGGGTCCTGGGAAGATGTAGAAAACCAACCCTAATGCAGTGGCGGCTTCCACGGCTCAAACCTGTGACTTGCAGGTTTCAAGAATATAATCAAAGAAATAAGAATTGCACCTAAGTGATGCGAAAATATGTGAAAGAACATGTCTCAGTCAGTTAAAAATCACTTCGAATTTCATACTACATATGGTACTTCTCAAAAGAAATATCTTGGAGAAGTTTGGAGGTCAAGAAAATCATCATACAACAAGGAGTCCAGAGCTATCAGTGTGTCAATTCACATCAATTGCATTCTTGTATGAGACACTCCAGGTCAAGATACTGCATAAAACCATAAAATTGGAATAGAAAAGAGACTGCAAACTGATCACATAAGATATATGTTTGTAGATACTGCAAGAACATTAGTACATTCAGGAAATCAATTAGAGAAAGAGAAAACACTTTTATTTTGTGAGAATATAAATAAAACTGCATGATCACGCTCAAAGTCCCGGACTCTATCTATGTCACATTTTCTGCACTTTTAGTTGCTCAGGACATATGTCCCAGCACCTTAAATAATAAAGTCTAATTGGTAAAGGTACATCCATCAATGATGTCAACAAAGAGAGATGATGTCAAAATGAATTTCTCAACACGACATATGAAAAAGCAAAAACAACATAAAAAAAAAAATTGTTTTAATAGCCTCCTCTGCACATGATTAAAGAAGAAAAAACATCACACACAAATAAGAGTGTCTATCCTGAATCTTTTGAATGAAAAAGCTATGTTTATCTTACTCCATGGGATACAAATTCAGAAACATTTGATCATGAAGAACTGCTTCACTAAGCACTCTATTCTAGAAAATGTATAGTTATAGATGGATGCATTAGCAGCATAACATATAACAACCAACTTTGAATCATTTAGGACAGAAGAAGCATCAAGTAAGTTAATAATTAACATTGGATAAAATAAAAGAAAAATAATGAACAAATGTAAAATAAGTATGAAATTTACACACCTCAAAAGCTTCAGACATGCAGCAAGTTCCTAACTTGTTAATGTGGGAACCGATAATAGTACTCCCGTTGGCTTTGATTACCATCAAGCATTTTAATATGTTCCATTCTTTTTGGAATTTTCATCAGCTTCGGACACTGACGTATACTCAAACTTTTAAGCACACTCATAGCAGTTGTGTGAAGATGCCAGCTTTCAAGATTGTCAAGATATTCAAGTCTAAGGGTCTCCAGCTGACCAAAACTGTTGCCGTTGCAAGTAATTTTCTTTCCCATGTAAGCACATGATAACTCGAGATGCTTTAAGTTTGGAAACTTCCCCAGAATTGGCATTGGATCTTCCTCGAGTCCTGTATAGAATGGAGACTGTAGGACTAACACAGTGATGGATTTTGGCAGATTGTTTAAATTTGCTAGTTCTTCTATTCCCCCTGATAACCACAATCTGTGAAGGTTTTCACAAGAAGAAAGAGGTTCAAGGGGAGGAAAAGTTCCACCACGATTGCAAATTAGAAACAAGGTAGTGAGGCTTTTCAGGTTGCCAATGGATATTAGGGAGTAAGATTTCGCAATTTGTTCCATGCCCAATTCTTGAAGGTTGACTAAACCAGAAGCATCAGTATCTTTCCACTGATCACAACGAATATATTTCAGAGTTCGTAGATTTGTCAGCCTGTTAACTTGCAGGGGAACCTCATATCGAGTAATTAAATGTCTCAAATTTGTGAGCTTGGCTATCTGAGGAGGTAATTGGCATGAGCAATAGTCATCAATCAGTGCTTCCAGCGTTTGTAGGTTTTCTAGTTTGGCAATGGAAGATGGGAGTTTGAAAAGATTAGTGTTAGACAAGCCTAAGAACTTCAGGTGTACCAAATTGCCTATAGCATCAGGTAGTTTACCCTCACTAAAATAGATGTTCTCCAAGTCCAGCACATATAGATGTGGGAACGTCGTACAGAATGTCATGAACTTTTCACTATTATCCAATTTCTCAAATTCTTTATCAAAAAACAATATTGACCTTACCTTCAATTTCGAAAGATCAAGTGAAAGATACTTTTGAGTTTGTCCATGAATAGCATGTCGGTGACGAAATGGAGTAACCGAGCTTACACTTGGATCATAAATGTCAAACAAGTTAACCTCCATGGACTTTTGGACAGCAAGATCCCGAAGTAGGTCGTGTATTTTACATGCAAAAAATTTATCGAAGAATGTCTCGGCCACTTGAATCAAGCTTCGACTTATTAGCTCATGTAGGAAGTTTTCAGCAATATCCTCCATATGTTCTTCTCTAATTCTTGGTATGAATCCCTCTGCCAGCCACAGATGCATCAACTTTTCAGTGTCGATCACATGATCTTCTTGGAAAATGCCAATGTATAAAAAGCATTGCTTGAGCTCAAATGACAAATCATTGTAGCTCAATGATAGGATGTGAGTTATCTCAACAGAGTCATTTTTCATATGTTGCCAAAGGTGTGTCTTCACCTTTTGCCATTCGTCCACCCCTTTTCTGTAGGAAAGTATCCCACCTAGTACTACTATAGCAAGTGGTAATCCTCCGCACTTCTCCACCATTTCATTAGCTAGCCTTTCCATTGATGGGGAGTACAAGTCAGCACCAACCATCTTATTCTCTGGATGTAGTTTCTTGCATAAAAGGTCCCAACTTTCTTTTTTATTTAGAAAACGAAGTTCATGGGGGAAACCTTTGTCATCGACTCTTTCAGCCACTTCCTTCTTTCGTGTTGTAAGGATAACTCTACTGCCATTGTTGTCATCTGGTAAGGCTCTTTGCAGGCTCTCCCAAGCTTCTCGATGCCATACATCATCAACCACCACAAGGTATTTGTGCTTTTTCAATAGATTACGGAGGTAAGTTTCTAGGTCTCTCTCTGACATCTCCTTCAGCAATTTGAGCAATTCTTCACTGCAGCCTTCAATAGATTTTATGATACTCCGAAGGAGATCTGGAATACTATACTGTTGAGAGACAGATATCCAAGCACGAGTGTGAAAGGTAGTGATTAAACTTGGGGAGTTATATAGGTTTCTTGCAAGAGTGGTCTTGCCCAACCCACCCATACCATAAATTGAAAGGACTTTTCTGTGAGACTCCTCTTTTAGAAGTTCATCAAGCAGTCTTTGAAAGACCTCTTGAAATCCAACAAAGAGTTGATCTTCATCTGCATAGGACACTGCTCTCCTCAATGTTAACATGGAAGACGTATAGTTTGGCCTATTACTGGGCCCTTCTCCAGCATTACTATTGTTGTGAGCAATACCATAGGTATCTCGTTTTCGAGAGATGTCCATGACTCTTTCCTTGAGGGACTGGATGTCCTTCCCAATGTCGTGTAATTTGGCCTCCTTCTGACAGATGCAAGCATAAGCCTTAAGACGATCAACGAATCCAGCAGCATGATCACCATCTTTTGCCGCATCCAAACTGTATGCTTCTAAGATATACACAGCATCATTAGCAACGGATGTGATTTCAAATACCCATTGCTGCACCAGGTTATCTTGTTCTTGATTTTTTTCAGCATCTTTGAGGAAAGCTTTCATGAAAGACAGTTCATTTCTCAGCCAAAGAACATTCTCTCTCAGACTTTGGCGCAGGGAAACTTCCTCTATGAGGAATGTTCCCAGTTTTTCAACTGCATAGGACACAACTGCATCAACCATCCTGATGATTTTGAGGCTAGTTTTTCACTGTAATAAGGATAAATTGGTATACTTGACAATATGATTACACAAAAGGTGTAGTATTATAGTTCAATGGCGCGTCACAGTTTAAATACAAATTTAAACCTTGAAGAAGACTTGGAAATTTCCAATTGGCGATGAAAGTCAAGGTTATCAACTATCAAGTTCTTTTTTTCTTACTCAATTCTTAGCGCGTAAGATTCTATAGACTAAATCACAGTTCTAACTAAAAAAGTCAGCAGTTTTCGAAAGATCTTCTCAGGACTTGCTATGCAATTCATTGCCTGGTGCGTGGACAATTCCATATGTTGTCCAATATCAGTACCAAAAGCTAGCTCATGAGAAAGGATTGCCCAAGGTCATACAAGGAGACCACCCATCCCTTTTTCATCCGATGTGACTCTTCAACAGTTTGATTAGTTCATGTCCAACAATATACTCAGTAGTCTTACAAAGTGCAATTCCTAACTCAGAGACAAAGAAGATATTTCTGATAGACCTAGTTTTTGTCCATAAGCAAGATAACGAGGCAAGCAGAAAAAGGCAAAGTAGGTACCTAGAATATGGAAGGAAAGCAAGTAGCTGGCCCCACTATGACAATCTCTTTTATCTTAGGCTTTAAATTATGTGTGCCCACACGTTAAATATCCCAATACAAAAACAAAATTCAAAATTTATTGAAAATTCCTTGTTCACTCAAAAGTTTATTAAGATCAAGTTGTAATATCCCAATACAACTAGTTTGAGGAATTCATTTGTAGTAACTAAATAAAAGAAGCCTCTGTAAATATAGGAAGACCCACTATTTTCAGAGTCCACCATATTGGAGAAGCAGGGCTACAAGAGTTGATCTTCAGTGAGGCGGAGCTGTTGCCCGCCATATGCTGCTGCGTTCAAATCGCAATGAACAAATTTAATCAAATATATGGGCCGTCTCAAGTCTCAACAAGTTACCGGTATTAGATGTTTTTCCCAATTGATAAAAAAAAATATCTTAATGTCAAAGCAATCTCAATAAGTTTGGGCAGCCTAAAGTCAAACTTCATCAATTGACTTTATTTTTTTAAGTAAATATATATAAATTGAATAATTATAACATACTTAGTGTTAGGGGTGTTGGTGGTTCGATTTGAATCGGTTATTGACTAAAACCAAAATCAAACAAAAAAAAATAACCGTCGATTTGGTTATTATCGGTTTGATTCAGTTTTTTTTTTGTTTATTCGATTTGAAAGTAATAATTTTTTTGAACACCTAGTACATGAACAATCCACAAAGAAGGTACTATCGGTTCAATTAAGCAATACAAGAGTTATTATTACACAAACAAATTGATTCAATTAATAGAAAGTGTAATTACTATGTGAAGTAGGGTGGTAATGACTAAAATGGATTTGGATGAACTTGGACTTAGAATTGTTATATTTGGGTTTAAGTGTTGGGCTTAAGAAAATGCTAAAGTTAAAGACTTAAGTTAATTAAACTATAACAAAATATTTATATTTTATTTATGAATAATATATAAATAATTATAAAAATTATATATCTAATTTATCAGTTCGATTTGGTTGTTTTTTAGTAAAACCAAAATCAAACCAAATAGTATCGGTTTTCAAACCAAACCAAATATCGATTTTTTAAATCGGTTTGGTTCAGTTTGGCTTTTTAACCATAACCATGAACAATCCTACTTAGTGTAATCCTACAAATAAGGTCTAAGGAGATATGATATACACGGACATTATGAAGTAAGAATGCAAATAATGATTTCAATGAAAAATATAAACTATAAAGTTAGAATAATAAAATCTACTCAAAAATTTGAAAAGTTTATATAATAATGATATCGAAATAGTATTGCGCTGAATTTGATAAGTTGATAAAATAGTATTGATTAGTTTTAGTGCTTGAAATTTAAAGAATAAATCAAAAATATCTATGCCCTAAAAATATCAAAACTCCAAGCGATTGCTTTAATAACTTTATGGCATGCTTAATGCTCCTGCAAGTAATTACTCATGGTTATTACATGAAGTAGCTTCAATTGCTAAAGGTGGTGAAGACTTCAGCAAGGCTCTGAAAGAATTATATTTTTATTTCTTAAAATTTTGGGTTTAAAACAAAATTTTCATGTTAACAAATTTAATTGAAAAAAGTAATTAAATAGATTGAGTGACTTTCTAGGAGAAGAATCCATAACTGATTGACCAAAATGTTATCTCCTTTCATCAATCAAAATCAATCAATAAATTCACCTGTAATTAAGCATTTTTCACGGCTTTATTCTCTGTTTTTGGCATTGAAATCCTCTTTGATAATCATTAGCTAAGTAACAAAACAAGTGACTCAAGAAGCTTTATTTTGTGCTATGTTGTTTTTGGCATAAGGCACAATTTTTGTTGTAATACAAAGATCATCTTCGACATGGATGGACAAGAGGGGGGGCTCCCACCTCCAATTATAAGTCTATGAATTCGAGTCAACGAGGAGTAAAAAAAGTGGGAGCTCCTAAGGAAGGGTAGGGAAAAAAATTTCGTACAATGACATTTGAGGATCCGTTAAAGATACACCTGACATTCAATAATAGCAAGATTTCTAGGATGTCAACAGAATGACATATGCTATTCTAAAGGAATAAAAGAACAAAACTCGAACTCGAGTGAATTTATGAAGGAAACAAGCCCCTTACAAAATAGTGATGATATTTCTTTTTTGACTAATAAGGTGGGAAGAACCTATTAAGTTGGCATGGTAATTTATAAAACTCATCACTTCTAACATCTTTAGTATATACCACAAACTTGTCCCACCAATGCAAGCCACTGTCTTTTCGAGCTTCATCGTTACTAAATGGAAGAGTCCTATCCAAAAATACAGCAACTGCAGCAGCTATCGTGGCGTGTGACATGAAGATGACAGACATTGTGTCATTGAACTGCAGTTTAAAAAGAGCAATATTAGTACGAGTTTAGTTTGTACCGATAATTCTGAAAATAACAGAGTTTAGTGGATGAAAAATTGTGATTACCCATCTTGAATTTGTATGAAGAGGACCAGATACAGAATACATGTGATGCTCTCTGAAGTATTGTGGTAAGGAAAATCCCAGAAAAAGAGAAAATCCCAATATGAAGTTTGTTCTAAAGCTGTTAAGGTTACAGAATTGGAGAAATCCAAGACCAGCTGAAGCTGCAATTCAACCAATGGATCAAATGTCAACAACTACAACAACGACGACAACATATAATCCCACGAGTGAGGTCTCGGGACAATGGACTAAATGTCATTTGGAAAAAAAGGTTGCATTAACAAAATAGTAAAAATGTAAGTGATACATACACATGTATCCAAAGAAGATACAATACATTGCAGCCATGATTGATGCAGGTATTGAAGCAAAGAGTGCTCCAAATTTTCCTAGCAAACAATAAAGCATGTCACAAATTAAATCGATACATCACAGTAGCTAGCATACAGACGAAAAGCGTCTAATTTTACAAAATTAGTCAGTCCTTCTCCATCAAATAATGGATTCTTGTCTTTGAATCAATATATACATTAGGATTAGCATACCTAAGATGGAGAAGAAAATCATAAAACCAGCAGATATTTGCACGACTCTTCGGCTTCCAACTCTTGTCATTGCCAATAGACCAGCGTTTTCCCTGTGAATTATAGTTAATTGATTGTTCATAGCCTAAGTCATAGTATGAGGGAATTCATATTAAAAAGATAGGAGATTGTTACGCTGTAGCAGCGCAACCAGTGACACCACCAAAAACGGCATTTAGCATAGTCCCAATCCCCTGCGACGAATTAAAACTCATGAGGTAAATGAAACTTGATACAACGAGAATAGAAGAGAATATTTGATCTCACCAGCCAGCCAACACCCCGGCTAATGACAGAAGGTGGCACTGGTGTAGCGCTTCCATATCTCGCTGATGCATGAAATACACCAGTTGACTACACAACATAAGTACTCAAAAGTAAATTCAAGAGTAATTTTCATTATACAAATGAAAGACCAGTGTACCAAAACAATTCAGAACTTATTTCTAGCAGCCAATTTCTTTTTCACAGCATTAACTACAAAGACTTATGTGTTATATATCAACAGTGAACAGATAATTAGAGGTTCAGAGAACAGACCTCCACAGAAGCAACAAAAGAAGCGATCATCATAGTAAAAGCATCTCCAAATTTGAAAGTTGGAACCCCCCATAGGAATAGATATGGCAGGTCGATCCTGCATAAAGTAACGCAAGTTGCAGCATAAGACAGAAACTCCTGAGAGACATGATAAAGAGATAGGAATTGCCACTTGGTGATGTGCACATAAAGAGAAATCTCACCAAGGAGATCCAGCAATGAGTCCAGAGCTATCAGTGCGACAATTTGCTTCATTTTCATTCTTGTATGCACCACTCCAGGTCAAGATTGCTGCATAAAACCATACAATTGCTATAGAGAAGAGCATTGCAAACCGGTCACATATGGGCCTCTTTAATTTGAGATATGTTGGTAGATACTGCAAGAACATTGTTACATTCAGGGAATCAAGTGTGAGTAGGAATAGGATAAACGATATGAAATACTGTTGCCGCGACATGTCAAATGAGAAATCTATAAGTTATGAGAAAGTTAAGCACAATGCAGAAAAAAGGATAGGGTGATGACAAAGAGAATACAAAATAGTATCGTCTTCAACAACCTCATGAATTAGTGACAAGGTTCAATCCAAATTTAAATTCATGAAAAAGTGAATGGCACTACTTGCCTGTGTGATGACAACCATGAAAATTAAATGTGGTATCCCAACTTCAATACATTCTGCAATCTACAAAACAAAGGTTACAAAAGATAATTAGTGAGCATGTCTTCAGCAATCTGAGGTGACCTCAACTTGATTGTGACTGAGGCGTGATTGTTTCTATTGTTTTAAGCAATCTGAGATTCTCATCTTTACAGAGAGCATATTTTAAATCGAAATCATACTTATGAGAAAATCTAGGATTAGAGTTCTCACCAATGGGAAGCCAAGATGGTAGAGCCCTAGTCCAGTAAAGGTAACAAGTGGTGCCACAGATAGAGGGCTAAGTAACCTAAATTATAGAATCAAATTAAGAAATACAGAATTATGCAGCAAAAAAAGAAGACGATGTAAAGTTGATGCCACATAATCAAGAGTCAAGGCTGGAAAAAAGAACATATTAGCACACACCTTACAACATTTCTCCACAGGCCAAGAAAGCCCAGTAGAATTTGGAAACTAGAAGTAACAATAAGAGCCCCCTGTATGCTCCTCATTGTATGCATAAACCTCTGTGGATATCAATCATGAAAAAACAAATTCAAGAAGCATCAACTCAATTGACAACCTGCACCCCCACCAATACAAACCAACTCACAGTCCCACACAAGCAACCATAGGCAAATGGTGCCTGGTTCACTGAGTTCAACCCTCTAATTTCAACACGAGGCGAAAAATTGCAACAAATATTAAACTCAAAACTCATAATTTCAGAAGTGCAATGATTCAGTGATAGAATAATGAAGGCAGGATTTTCACCAAGGAGGTTCATCATCTATTATACATATTATACATACGTAAAAGAATTTACCTTTTATATATAGTGTAATTTTTCAGTTAAGAGAATTCGGATGAACCCCTTTCCGCCCCTTTAGCTCCGACACTTTTAAACAACAAAAACTTAAAGATTGAATCCATCAAGTTTAAATCTTGGATACACCCCTAGCCTCGGACCCCTCTCAAAAAAAAAAGAAAAAAAAAGAGGGGGAATAATGTTACATTACCAGCTCAGGATCCTGAAGAACTGAGAACTTATTAGCCTGGATAATTGAGATGATTGGTATCAAGTATGCATATGAACCTCCCATTACCAATGGCAATCTGGTCCCAAATAAGGATTGGAGTAATGTATTCACTCCTGAAGTAAAAAGCAATGTCTGTACTATTTTTGCCTTCTCATCCTACAATTCAAAAACTGGCTGAAAATCAGTTGAATCAATAAAAGGATAGTAATATACAGGATCAATTATCTAGTGGCAAAAGGGGGGAAAAAGAAATTATATATGTTTGACTATAGTTTTTGAAGTTGAAACTTAAAATTTGAAAATTTGAGTTTTTGAAGTAGTGTTTAGACATGCATTTTACTTGAAAAAAATTAAGGTTATATGAGTGAAAGTGCCAAACATCCAAATACTGGGCCAGTTTTTGGGAACTTGAAATTTCATGGTCAAATAGATATTTGAAGATTCATTTTCAAACTCTATTCCTAAAATCTATGAACAAATGCTAGCTTAATCACAATGATGAAAGAAAGGGAATCTTAGTATCTCAGTTGGTTGGCTACTTGAACTTTCACCTTGTTGGTGAGGATTCGATTCTCCACCTAGTAATCTCCTCCCCGTTTCCCTTCCCCTACCTCCTATGTAATTTAAATAATAATAATAAAAAGCTGAGATAGAATAGAAAGAAATTCTTACATTGTCACCACCCATTTGAGGAACTATGATACTTGGAAATAAGACAATATTACCAAGACTCAATATGTAATGCTGAAACCCCAATAACAATGCTTCCCCTGCATTATCATATTATTAATCATAATCTTAGTTCAAATCCTTATAAACAATAATTGAAAGAGAAAACTATATAACTGGTCACTGTATATAACTTAAATCGCGTAAGTTTTAAATTTGCACGTACCCCAAGGTGGTGGGCTATTAACACAGTATTGTACATTCTTAAGTTGTTCCATAACTGGATGAGGATGCAATTCTTCAGCCTTTTTAGCTCCATTGTTGCCACTAGACATGATTGAAACTTAGAGATTGGTTTTAGAGAAAGTTGAAAATTGGCGCTACTTCATGCATTGACAATATTGACTTTTTTCGTTGTAGCAAAAGAATGAACGTTACATTTGTATTGTTATAATTAAACATACTGATATGAAACTAATTGAGTATATTGCCGTTACAAATATTTTTGGCCTTAGTTTTAAAGAGTGAAAGATATGAATTTAATAGTATCTGATACCAAAACAACTCATTCTCCTCATGTATGAAAAAATCCCTGTGCTTTAGTATCTTGTGCTGTAACTCTTACTAAAGACTAATTTTAATGTTAAAATCCTCAAAATTCTCTGGAAAGGTTAAATGGGATTATTTCATCCCTGATATACGTAATCCAGGATCCTTATTCAATGCATTATCCCCTGGGATAACAATTTTTTACTTGACACAAAATTTAATAAAATAAAGAAAGATTTTTGAATATTATGATTTTAAACTAAAACACATAGAATATACTAAATACTCTTCAATCTTATAGTCTTGACGAAAGTCGAAAGTTAAGAGTTGCTAAAAGAAAAAGAAATGTGTTTTTTAAACTAAAAAAGAAAAGTAGCACAAACAAATTGAAATTAATGGAATACTCGTGGTTAATATATAATAACAAAGAAAGAAAACTCATTTTGGGTCGTCTCCGCTCCTTAAGTAGAAGTCCCGTTACTTTAATTTAGTGAAAGCATTTTCGTATGTATCATCATAATCATAATTCATAAGAGTGTTGAGAAAAATATTTTTCACGAAAATAAGTGAATTTCTTATTTATTTATTTTATGTAAATAAAATATATCATCTTGAAAATATTTGTATATAATATAGATAAATATTATGTGAAGTTGGTAGGGGTGTGGTGTGGTAGGGACGGAGGTTACTGGGTAGGGTGAAGATAAGGTGTGTTGAAAGTATGGAGAAACATTATTTTTCTCAATTTTGAGAAATTTATTTATAAAAAAAATATCAAAAAATTGTGATCAACCAATAATACGTGAAAATCCGAACTTACTGAAATTATTTTTAAAGTAATAGGTAATTTATTTTTATTAGCAGACAATTTATAAGATTGAAAATTCTTATTTTCAAGAAATTTATCTATAAATATTTTAAGTCACTTAATAATATATTTTTTAATTACAAATGTTTGTATGTATATAACAAGTGTGGACGTGCTCCAAAAAATTCCCAATTAAACTCGATAAATTTGATCTAAAGTTATCTCCAAATCAAGGTTCACAACAAGGAATCTTATATTAAGCATTTTCATTATTAATCGATAACTTTTAGATTCAAATTACAGGATAAAGTGAATATTATTAATTCTTCCAAAAAGAAAAAACAATGCATTTTATTTTTCGTTTTGATTCTGAATATATCGTATTATCTACGTAGAATAAGGCGCAGCAGACATTGAATTTATTAAAGTCAAATCAATGAACCAACACCGAGTGAGGAAATATTAAGTTCAAATAAAATAATATATTTTCTTTTGTCATCACTAATTTGAATAAGAGTTTAAATTATACTAACCGTTCATCTAAAATCTTAATTATTTATAATAATAATATTATTTTAAATCAATCTCAAAAGGTGAAAACAAAACAAAACAATCAATATAAATAAAGTGTATTATAAACAAGAAGAACTTATTCGGAAGGTAAAAACTTCTTACTCTCAATTTTAACATTATAAGTTCAATAATCAAGAAATTAAAAAGATGAGAGCCCTGCGATTTCCAAAAAAAAACAAGCATAGTATATGACCATAATTCAAGATGTATTACACCAAAATCGTAAAATGATAGCACCAAAAGGAATATCACGAAGGCACGCTTTTCAAGTAATAAAGTGAGTATTATTAAAAAGGAACTTAGCTTTTTCCTGTGAGGTGCCACATGTAACATCCTGGAGTAATCTCCTCCAATCACAGCAAACTTTTATTCAGCTACAGCATAAACATTTCGAAACAAACACCTATTTTAATTTATTTCTTTTTTACTACGCAGCAAATTTAAATTCTTTAAATTTTATAGTTTTAAATTAAATATATATAATATTCTTAAAAAAATAAATATTATGATCATAATATGTCACATAAAATATTGAAATTAAGAAAAAAAATTAAAATATTTATCTTTTAAACGAACTAAAAAGACTACAAAAAACCCATAGAAAAAGACCGAAGTCAGAACCAGAGGCTTTTTTTCATCTGGTATAACTTAATGACCACAATTTCTAACTCTTGTTTTCTCGATTTCATTAACATGTTAACGCACACCTTTTTGTTTATTAACTCTTTAGTCTTAACCTTTACATATTACTCTATCTTTTAATGACACCTTTTAAAAAATAAAATAACAACATGACAATTGACATGTGCTGATGATGCTATTCTTATAAACACATAATTTCTTTACATATATATTTTTTAGTTTATTGGTTAACCTATATGTGAGTACTAATTTAATCAGCCTGTCGTATCAAATAAAGTGTAAGAATATAAATCGTTAACAACCTTAAAAAGCGAATAATGTGATTATGAAGATTTATTTCGTACTTCCCTAGTTTTCTGAAAAATAACTAGTAACTTACTAAACAACTTCCTGAAAAAAAGTTCACAAATAATTTTCATGTAGTTTACAAACAACTTTGTGAAATAGTTTACACACAACTCATAAGTTGCTTTGCAAGCAACCTTTTAAAGTAACTTACTCAAATAACTTACAAACATCTTCTTTCTTTTCATAAAAATAGAGAGCTTATTTACTTTTCTTTTCATTTTTTTACCTTCGAATTCACAATCAAGTTGCAAAGTAAATTATTTACTTATTAACAAATATACTATGTAATTTTCTAAAAACTAATTAAAAGTCTTGGTAAGGCAAAAGATTTCAGTACATTGAACCTCTTTCTTTTTTTTCAAGAGGCAGAGAGGGAACCAAAAAGAACAAAATTCTGATAGGTGTAGGCATGCATGAGATCCACGTCAACACGCGTTGTCCCACAAAAGGCCCTTTCTCTTCGGTGCAATGAGATGAGCGCCCACCGTCTGATTGGTAAGCAGCCCACTGCCTCACCCCCACTTATTAACTCAAAAAAACAAAACTTATTCTTTTTCACATCCGTTATACTTTTTTTAATTAGTAGTACATAAATTCATCCTTAAAATATGATAAAAAAGCAAAATGGGTAATTAGTAATGGAGTGAAGATTTTAAGGAGGTGTCTTTTCTTTTCTGATACTACTTTTTCATTCATAACCGAAGGGAGAGACAGCTAGGAGTAAGGCTTAGGGTGTGATAAGTGTAAAGCATGCATGCAAGTTCAAAACTCTCTTGTAATCCCACATGTCCTTTTTTTGTTTTAAAGTAGCTCAAACACGTACCCACCGTATGTTTCCAAGTGTCATTTCAACCTGTTCTCTTCTTTCATGTTTTGCCCTTTTCTTATTGGCTTATATCACCCTTCTTATACCTCTTACTCTAGTCCCACTAATTTTCCCTCAACTCTCCTCTCTGTTTTTCTGAATTTGGTTCTTTTTTTTGGTTGTTGTTAAGAGGAAAAGGGTTCTTTTTTATTCAAAAAAAAAATGATGCAGACTTTGAATCCTTACCCTTCAACCTCAAAAACAGCTGAGATCATGGCTAGGTATAGGCCAATAGCACCAAAGCCTGAGGCTCCAACTAGCCCTGTTTCTGAGGATAATCCTACTGGATTACCCCCAAATATTCAAAAGTCTCCTTTCTTGAGGAATGTATGGCCTCAATTGCAAGCAAGGCCAACAAGGACTAGGAAGAGAGGAAGGACTGCCCTTGGTCCACCTTCTATGAAAAGAGCCAGAGCTAATTACTTTCCTGCTGGCCAATTTCCTACTTATCAGCAGGTGATGGCTGCTTCTCCTTCTTATAGACCAAATGTGCTTCCCCAGTTCACTTTAATCCCAAATCTTCTCCCTCTTAAATGTGGTTTGGGTACCTCTGTTACAACTCCATCAAATTCCATAACACTCCCTCTTATGGCTTGTACTACCACTACTCTTCCTATGCTAGTAGAGAAAAACTCTGGAGAGGAAATTAGAGGAATCGATTTGAATTTGGCAGCTGATGGCCCTGAAGAATTAGATTTCATGCCCCAATTGCAAGGTCCCAAGACCCCTGGCCCGGGTGTTATAACCCCGCAGCCAGTTCGCCCAGTTGGGTCAAGTATTTCCATTGGGTGTATCAATGAGGAGGAGGCTCCAGAAGGTGGTGGAACAAACAAAAAATTTATGAAGAAACCAGAGGAGGTGGAGGAAGAAGTTGAAGCAGAGGCTTTGCCAGCTGTAATATCGGACTCGAATAACAAAGTAAGGCTCACAAATGCAGCATACAAAGAGATGGTGGGTCAACCTGAATGTTGCTGGCTGGACTACATGGTTGGGAATGCATGCAAGAGAATTGGTGGGGAAGTGATACTTGAGTTCTTGGATTCATCTTGCAGTGTGCCAATGTCATCTGATGGGTTCAATTGTTGGGTGAAGATAGAATGGGGAGCTGCACAAGGGAAAAAGAATTCAGTCAAAGCTTTCTGCAATGCTGTGAAGTTAGCTTGCCAGTCCAAAGATTATGTCTTTGAGTGGAGGTTCCATACCACAGATGATGATGCTCCTGCATCAGCTGCTTCCAATAATTAAACAGTTTTTTTATCAATTGTATATACAGTTTAACTAGTTTAAATGTTGTAAAATGCCGGTTAAAAACTTATGCAATATAGTAGCAGCATATAGAAAGTAGGAAAATTAGGGTAGTTCAATTATGTTTAATAGTTATTTCCAGCTTAAGAGTATAAAGCTATGTGTCAATTGTCAAGTGTATACGTCTTCTTTCTTTTTGTTCTCCGTCTGTGCATATTTTACTAGGTTAGCACATATCAATAAACAAAACAGACAACAGACTAAAGTTTCGAATGCCTAGTTAATGTAATATGTTTTTCTTATTGGAGGATGATTATTTGATGGCAAATGCATATTATTGGCTGAATACGTGTTAGAATTCCAATGGCAGAAGTTTCTAGCATCTCTTGAAGGCACAGCGGTGGCATTTGATTTTTGAAGTCACCAGAAATAGAGTTGAGGTAGGACCCCTTCCATTTGAAGTTGTCTGCATATGATTTTGATTTTGACTCTAACCAGAAATAGAGTTGATAGACATAAAATTCACCGTATCTAGCTAGACACGTATAAAACTCCACTTCAAGAACAAGTATGATTGAGAATGCTTTATTTTTTAAGGGGAGCCTTGGATTCAATAATGATGTATGAAACTTCTTGATTGTCAAATTTTTTTATGTGTAACCTTTTTTGAACAATCAAATAAAGATGACTATACGTAATCAACTTCCTATAATAGATTTAATTTGGTAAAATCTGACTTATTTAACGGTGTATATAGATTGATCCATCTTTAAATATTCAAAAGTTAATGTAACGACATTGTCAGAGAACAAGTTGACAAGAAGTTTGGAGACTCGAATTGTGCTTTTCTTGGAAGATTTGGAGGTGGCGTCTCTCAGGATCGCTGGAAAGATTGGGAGGTGGGGTCTCTCACGACCGCATTACATGGAAGGGACAACAGAATGGGAACTTCTATGTAAACGCGATGGCTCAAGCTAATTAGTGACCTAAAGTTAAAAATAAATCAAAAGTTAACTTTTAATTGTTTTTTTATTTTTTTCTATCTAAGATTCAAAGTTATTTTTTTATTTTTGATAAAAAAAAACTTTATTTTCTATGGTCTTAAACTAAAGATATATATATACCAAAATATTTTTTAATCTTATGGTCTTAAACCTATCATGTGAAAGTTAAATTTAAAAGCTGATAAAAAAAAAACATTCTTTAATGTTTCGAAACAAACTAAAAAAGATAAATAAACTAAAAAATATATTGGTATATTGTGTGTGTGGTGGTGGGTGGGGGAGAGATGGTAGTGGAGGGGAAGTCGCTTCCAAATAAATGAAGCCCCTTCCTCCAGCGGTTGCGCCCCGAGATAGGGAAAAGGCCTCTTCTTTCCTATCGAAAGAGGATACGATGGGGATGGGGGTATAGGGCTTTCCCAATTGGATGATAAAAAAAATCTGGAAGTCTAAAACCCGTACGAAGTTAAACTGTTTTATGTGGCTGTTGGCACTGTTTTAACTGTTTTATGTGGCTGCTGGCCCATGACGCATATCTCACACACGATACCTACAGAAAAGAGGGTGTAATTTATGCCGCAGGTGCTTCATGTGTAATAGCCAGGTGGTGTGCAGCAGTCCATTTTATTTTATTTTTTGCAATGTCCTGTGGTTGGTCTTTTTTAAGCTCTCCAAGCAACCACCCACAATTAGGAGCTACTAACCAGTTAAAATTCTGGGGGTACCTCTTGAGAAGATTTGGTATACCATCCCGCCCGCTTATAGTGGAGCTTGTGGAAGGAAAAAATGTCAGATGTTTTGAAGGATAGTCAGTTAGTAGAGTTGAGTAAAGTCATTTATCTAATTTTTGGAGTTAGTTCCTTATGGTCACTCAACTTAATGAAATTACCTAATAAAGTCATTTATATTTTTTTTGTTCCAATAAAATCACTCAAATTCATACAAATATCTTATAAATTAACAATTGCTAGAAAACTACTTAGAAGTGAGTTGAAATGGTTTTGAATATAAACCACTCACCATCCAGACCATATATCTTAGAAGCTTGAGTGACCATTAGAGAACTCACTGTTGATAATCCAGAAGCGCTCATCCATTCATTTTAGAAGCTTGAATGATAGAAGGGATTATATGGTGATGTGTGCCTGTGTATAAGGTGAATGTTAAACAAAGCTCTGTACATTAGACTGCAAACACAACCAACAAAATTGGCCTTGGGGTACATAGTTGAGCTAGTGTATTATGTAGTGACAATGCCTGCTTATAATGTCAATGTTAAACGAAGCTCTGTATATCAGACTCCAAACAAGACCAACAAAATTGACCTTGGAACATAGTCAAGCTAATGTATCATGTAGTAACAATTAGAACGAAATCAATTTGACATTCAAGTTCTAATGAAGCCAAACTCTATGAAATCAGTACTTCAGCGTTAAAGTTATTAGTCATTCCAGAAGATAAGTCCGGGTAGGCTCTCTTTCGATTTCTTCTCTAGAAATCTGATCAACTTGATATCTTTCATCACGGTTTTCTCTTTCACTAATTTAACTAATAAATACCTCAAGAACTCTTGAAGAAACTCTTAGGAGAAGTACTATCCATATTCTGGTACTCTTTCTACATCACAATCTTGGAAGCATGCAATGCAAGTCCAAAACCTTTTCTAATCCCACATGTCTGTTACAGGGAAATAACAACAGATTGTCTAAAAGCACAATAAGATCTCTGATACAATATATTTATAAAGGAAACAAGAAAATTAGACAGTGTAGCGTTCAAAAGGATTTACATCATACAATGTACTCCCAACCATGTTTCTCAGCAAATGCATTTGTTGCGTCTACACTATCAAACGATAACCCTGCCTCACCAACGTATGATAAAGGGTCTCCTGTGGATGTCCATCCAATCAATGGACTTTCCCACCTAAAAGATGCGATCAAACAGATACTTGGCTACAGTTCTATTAATTAAAAATAGTATCAGAAACAAAATATCTACATCGGCAAAACAGAGGCAGTTTTTGAAATTGCACTGTTTTAGAGACCTGAGATGCTGGGCATGCTGAAAAAAATGCTTACGAGAGTACCAACACTTGGGGAAAAAGTTCTCGCATAGAGAAATACAAGTTCAAAGGATTTGTTGCATCGATAATACTTAAATATCCAAAGTGTTCTCAGAGAATAAAATATAAATGTTTTATCATGAAAAGGTAAAGAGTGATGGGTACTTCTGTGTAGACAAGAAATTTGTTTTCCACTTCCCAACCTTTCCAGAGCCTTGTTGAGTTGCAATTCTTGCAGGTGAATAAACAATGACCTGAAGAATCAATGTTCAAATATCCCCGAAAAAGTTAGTCTATCCACAGATCCATTAACTGACCAGCAAAAGAAGTAGGCATATTTGTCAATGAACTCAAGAGGTATGACCTATATATTGCTTCAGATGAAAAAAAAGGCTAAATAACTAATATAACCAAATGCCTATGTTTCATCTGGAAGAATAAGAACAGGAATTTCCAGTAAATTGTGAACTCTAGAGGTATGACCTATATATTGCTTCAGATGAAAAAAACAAAGGCTAAATAACTAATATAACCAAATGCCTAAGTTTCATCTGGAAGAATAAGAACAGTAATTTCCAGTAAGCTGTTGAGAATGGCATGCTCGATTCCTCAGTATCTGCATCTGCTTCTTTTGTCTAGAAAGGGAAGGGGAAAGTGAAGATGATGAGGACATCATCGAGGGAAATTCAAATTGGGGAAAAATACATGTGTACAGACCACATACCCTTTATCCCCACAAGAGAACACGTGCACTCATCTCAGCAAATTTGTGCAATTTGAGTTGGAGCAAATCTCAGTCGTATGATGAGAATAAAGGACAGCTAGGAATAGATAATAAAGGGTCCACTAGAGTTGGTTAATTTGTTATAGACTAGGCAATAGAATTAAGGAGCTCATTAGCTCATCCTCTGAATTTATTCACAAACATTCATCTCCTATTTCTACCATTCAGTAGAGAGCACAAACAGCCTACTTATTTATCTGACTATATGTGCAATGTAGTTTTTCTTATTAATCTTAATCTTGTTTTACATCTTTTATCACTCCTCCTGCGTACCCTTTTTCAACACTTTCTTCAGTTAATCAAAAAGTTCTTAATTTTGTTTCTACTATGGCTGAACCATCTACATATGCACAAGTTGCTATGCACCCTGGGTGGCAGCAGGCTATGGCATGTGAACTTGAAGCCTTGGAGGCTTAACAAGACTTGGAAGTAGTTCAACTACCTCAAGGGAAAAAATACTCCCCTTGTAAGTGGGTGTTCAAAAAGAAAAAAGAAAAAAAGGTATGATGAGAGTCTTGAAAGATTAAAGGCAAGACTTGTTGTTAGGGATGATATCCAAAGAGAATGTGTGGATTTCAATGAAAGCTTCTCCCCAATTGTGAAGATGACCACCATAAGATGCATTTTATCTATAGCAGTCAAAAGAGGTTGGCCTTTATCACGATTGGATGTTAATAATGCATTTTTACATGGTAAATTACAAGAAGAGGTCTATATGAGGTTTCCCCCGGAATATCTTCTCGTAGTCCTAATCATGTTTGAAAGCTTGGGAAATCTCTCTATGATTCAAGACATGATTCATGCCAATGGTATTCTAAGCTTACTTCTGCTCTCAATTTCAAGGGATTTATTTCCTCTTTAAATGATTAGTCCTTATTTTTTTTAAAGGATGATGATTCAATTTCTTAAGTTGTTGTTTATGTGGATGAGACATTATTTTGACCGGTAACAACTCAGATGAACTCACTCTACTCAAAACATTCCTTGATACTGAATTAAATCAAGGATCTTGGGGACTTACATTATTTTTTTGGGACTTGAGATTTTAGAGCAGCCTCATGGTCTCATTATTACTCGGCAGAAGTACACTTTGGAGCTCCTTTCCGAATATGATTGCACCCATCTGCCACTTGTTTCTTCACCTCTTGAT